ACTTTAACTCACTGTCAGCTTATTAAATGATGTAAGATTAATGGTGATTTACTTTATCTTTAAAGACTCTTGTTTGTGTTAGTGGATGGTTAAAATGTAGGGACCTATTCTGTGAAAAGATTTTCTCAGAATCTTATAAAAAATAATATATTATTCCCCACACATTTTTTTCTGTACTCCTGAAAAAGAAAAATGTGCAAATGATACAATAAAGCACTTTAAAAGCATTTTTAAACTAGATTTTTTTTTTTTTTTTGTTCTGTGAGGCTGACACTCTGTCACTATATTATTTTGATCCTAGTTTCTATAATTTAAGACTTTCTGGAGATGAACAAACAAGTTTAGTGTATTTTTTTGGTTTCGTCTGTAAGAGGAGGCTGTTTCACTAATATTTCACTTACAGGGACATTTTAAGAACTAGAGAGGCTACTTACCATGAATGCATGACTTGAGGGTTTTATGCTGCAATGCAGATTCTGAATACTGCAGCTTGTTATTGATGGAGAGACTAGGTACATGTCTAAAGGCAGTTCTTTTCAGTAGACAAAAGCCTTACATGATGTTACTTACTGTCCATGACTTCGTCTTGGTTTGTGACAAACCCAACATTTTCTTAGGGGAGGAGATGTTACCAAAGTAACATTTGTCAGTTTGTTGCCTCATTCTGTACAGGCATGTCTCAGAATTGATCACAGCAAATATAAGTCATAATAATTTCCACCCACTTAAATAAGATAACAATTAACATGACACTGACCTAATGATGACTACTGTGAGCTATCCTTTACTGCGCCCTGCCTGTAGTTGTTTAATTTGCAAAATGATTTGTATGAAAACTATTTTCCTGTTGAAATCAGTTACACAATGCTGATCTAAGTCAGCTGATGAAGTGCACTCAGAAAATCCTCTGGGCTTAATTATCTTCTGTGTAATGCCTTCAGACACAGTTAATATTCATTCATCTTGCCCCCCACCCAATATAATATTGGACTTGCACTTCTATGGTTTATGAGGATACAGAATATTATAGTTCCATTTCCTGCTAAATAAGACTGCCAGATTTGTTTTATTGACTTGCTAAAAGTTTCTTTGATTGAAGTTTTCAATGATAGACTCCCCAAATGCCTCACTTAGGCCCAACCACTCTCATCATTGCAGTAGCTGCAATGATCACATTCTACCATTGCTTCATTTTGCTGTTGCCGCACTAATGATGATTCACTTATGTCCTAATACAAAAAGCACGAACTTGGCCTTTTCTATAGAAAATAAGCTCAGCAAAGACACTATCAGTAAAGCTTTGAACTTAATATCCCAGATGGTCTGTTGGCCAGTGAGGATGAAAGAAATACATGACCCAACATTAAGGCAAGAATTAATTTGCTGCTCCCTGATGTAGAAACACAATATATGTGTTTGAAAAAATGTAGGCTTATAAAAACTAATTATCATATAGTAACCCTATGATAAAATACTGAAAATAAAAATGTATAAAGCATTTTATTGTATATATATATATATATATATATATATAAATATATATATATATATATATATATATATATATATATATATATATATAGATATCCCAAACCTTCCGGAAGTTCTGGGAGTCTCCCTGATAACGATAGTTGTTCACAGATGCCCGCGAGTCGGATAATTCATCCCAGATTTTAGACTATACGAAGTTG